GTTTTTAACATACAAAATTTTTTATAAAATTTCCTATATGCATATTTACGTTTTTGATATTTCTTCTTTGTCAATACAAGTATATTCATATGACTCTCCAGTGAGAAATTATAATTTTACGATGGTGTTTTTTCCCTTTCCAATGTATGATTACAGTTTGAAATACAAATCGTAAATCATATATCTAATGGGGATTTTTAAGATCTGCCACTGATCTGTTTGACTAATGGTTGATGGAACAAGTAGGGAATAATCCAGATGAAACCTTGTAGCAAACTATTTGGATATTTTATTTTTTTCTCGTTCTTTTTCTCTCTTTCTTTCGATTTTGACGTTGGAGCATTATCTTTTCTGTAACTTTTGTAACTTTTAAAATTAAACAGCATGTTTAAATTGTTTTATATTTATTGTAAGTCGCATCTCATGCGCGTTAAAAAAAAATAATGATTAAGGAGTTTCTCTTTTCTTCGTAAAATTCGTCTGTGGCAAGGAAAATAGTAAGCAATAATTACATCACATCGTCGATTTTATTTCGTAACTTTTATTCTATATATAATAGATACATTATGCTATTACTATATTTTTTCCTATTTTAATTCATAATGTATTTAAAATATCTTTAGATCGCGTGATATACGTACATATATAATAATATATATATATTGGTTTTGACATTGTGTCTGCATTGCATTTCTTGGAATTTATACATTGCATAATTACTTATGCGTTTTTTTTTCATAATTCAAAAGAAATATTCAATAGATCCGGTACGAGCTAAGACAATAAATTCGTATATTTATGATATTACACATGTGTATTATATGTACAATTATCTATAATTTATTTTTTGTATATGCATATATACCTATACTTCGAATATCCATCGAGGTATATTTTGTTGCGTTGTTTCATATCGATTTTTATATATAATTTTGCTTTTTTTATATAAATCTTAAATTATTATATTTGCTTCTAAAGTGTACACAAATTTATGTTGACACATTTGTTTGATACATGCAATAATACGCGAGAGAGAGTGCTAAATTGCATTTAATATTTTTTCTAATAGTTCAATATTATATCTCTCTACTGATATATATATTGAAATTATAAATCATATGTATGTGTGTGTGTGTGTGTGTGTGTGTGTATGTAAACAAACGATTAAATATATATGATTGAATGATACATGCTAATTAAGAAAAAAAAATACTATCATTCTCATCCATATATCTAAAGCCTAGTAACAAAATAGAAAAAAGGAAATTTTTTTAATATTTTGAAATGAAATGGAGTTTAATTAATACACGTGTGTACTTTTATATAATATTTGTGCATATACAGAGGATTAAGATACTTTAAGTAAATAAGTAGTAATGAGATTTACAGGTACACCTACTAGTTACATTTCTATCCACATAGATCACATACAAATTCATGATAATCTACTATGAGAAAACTACGAAAAGAAAAAAAAGTAAAGAGATAATATGAATAGATAAATGATATATAACGTGTAGTATGTATGTATATGTATGTATATATGTACATATTTGTAAATGATCGAATAATCGATTGATCGTAAAATCCGATTGAATGTAGTATTAAAAGATTAATTAATTTTTTTATAGTAATTATAGGTGAGAAAAGTTTATTGATATATACGGTGTGCAAACGATATGTTTATCCCGAATGAGATATATGTATATATATAATACTATATAATATTAACACAAATTTTTCGAATCGTTCAAATGTGTTTTATAGCATATTTACATAAATAATTTTTAATAAGAATTGCAGTTTGAAAATAGATTTACACTACCGTTATGATACTATGCAATTTACGGATGTTATTTTTACGGAGAATAATTCCTATAGTGTGCAGAAAATATTTCTAAAAAAAAATTTAACATTATAATATACATATATCTACTCTAAAGTATATATAAATGTGTGCACATATTTTATTTAAATATCATACGACGCTCGATGAAGAGAGGACGTTAAATTAAATTCATCTTTAAATTTATATATTTACAAATATGTAAGTATTTTACACAATAATTATATATATATAGTATACGTATTATATATGTAATACGAATATTATTCTTCATGTTCTTAGAAAACTTACGAATTTATCTAATAAATTTTAGGATATATCTTGTAGCTACAATATCAGAAAATTACTTTTTCTTTAGACGGGAAAACTCTTTAACTTGTTGGATTATATTTACACATTTAAATTTTCATGACACTCGTCATATTTGACGGTAAATAATGTCGAAAATGATTTTGATATCAAGATATATGACTATACATGAAAAAATAATAAAAAATTTCTTCATAATTAAATGTTAATATATGTGTTAAAGTACGCAAAAAATAGAATATCAAAAGATTTAAACAATTCAAAAAAGTTCTTTAAAGTTACATACTTTTAACGCCGATCCATTTTTTTATGAATTTGTATTAAAAAGGTCATAATTTGAAATTAAGAAAGATGAACGAAATCATTACGTCTATAACAAAATATTATGTAGATTAATATATTTAACACATTTTTTATTACAGTTTCAAAAATTAGAACGTTTAATAATTATCAATATTTAAAATTAACTAATTTAACGAACTATGTTTTTATGTAAAAAGTAATTAAGAGAACTCTCTTTACGTTTTAAATATCTGTCTTATATTCATTAAATATGCATGAGAGTAAAATTAATCGAACCAATCTTGATTTCATTAAAAGTATAATAATTCCAAGAGAATTGATATCGAGCTGTTATATATCTATTAATAGTAATTACTGTCAACATGACAGCAAAATGCACTATTTATTAATTATACAAATACCTTTCGCGCACATTATATTGCATAATTAGATAATGAACATTTTTTTAACTCTAAAGTTCATTATATGCTTATTTACGCTTATTTAGTTTTTCTTAATTTAAGATTATTAGACTTATGACATATCGTGCATTATGATATACATATGTTTTTGGCATATCATATGTGTACGATATGCAGAACAAGTTTGATTTACTTTAGTTTTGCTCTACTAATGCATAATTTAGAGCACACTATTGGATAAATTGTCTAATTGTTGTTATTTTGCTGTCGAACTTTGGCGAGGGACATCTGATGATATAAATAATAATTTCTAAAACAATTTTTAATACAGATATTTTGCGTCTTTTACGTTGAAAAATATACGTACATTGACGTAATACTAATCGTATATACGAAGAATAAATCAGACGATCACAGGATTCTTCGAGATCGGTTTTAAATTAACAGTTAATACGGATTTTCTCTCTTTCTTTATAGATAATCCTACCTTCCGCTATAAAGAGAGATCACTTTGAGAGAGCGGTCCGTTACCTATCCTTGCATTGCTATTAAGTCGTTTTGTCGTAATCGTGCTGTTTTTTGATTCCTTATTATTCACAGACGCGATTACATCCGGCGATTCTTTATTAATCGCCGCAATGGCCACAAATTCCTGTTCGTTGTTAATCGTTTGAGTTGATCGCGAAGTGCGTGTTGATTCCTCATTCTTCTGATCTTTCAATTGCAATTCGTAACCTGCGAACAAAAATGGGGGAAGTCGAATGTATTAAAATGATAATTATATTTTATAAAAGAAAAAGCTCGAAATCGTACTTACACTCGCTTTGAGTGGAGCAGTCTATAGCGATATGTTTTTTGATTGCTTTATTCTGATCGCAAGTTGCGGCTGTCAGAACTGTCGTCGCCGTTACTGGGCCCATCATATTCGAAGCATTTGTAGCGGTTATCGCCGAACTTTTCGTCAGATTAGGCCTTCCTGCCCTCACGGTTGGGCGCACATTTCTCTCAGGTCGGATTAAAATAATGTATAGCTGTGCATATAAACAATACGTGAATCGTTATTACAGTAAATTAAGCTAAAGTCAGAAATTAGTTTGGCCAGGTATTCGGTAATTAAAATTCCATTTCATCTTTTTGCACAAAAAACACAATTCTAAGCTAAATTCCAATTTTCAACATGCATTTTAGGAGAAATATTAATAAGAATACAAATCTTTAATATTTTGCATACATCGTAACTGTGTGTGTGTGTGTACGTTAATTTGAATTCACAAATCGGGATTTTTTATCATTTATAAACACTAGGCGTAGCACATTCGAAATTCCAAAATTGCAACAATCTTGAGTGTTGGAACGTTCATTTTGAAATGCTCGCATTTTTAAAATGATCAAGCTTTACCTTTGGACTGAAGAGACAAACCACCGTTACAGACGCAGAAAGACTGATTGTGACTGACATCGAAGTAATTCTCAATGCGACGTTGCTTCCGGTACCGTAGTACAAAGGTATGAAAGCACACCATATAACGCACGTCGTATACATCGTTAAACCTACATTACACATATTGTTTCATAATAATGCTGTCTTCTTATCCTTCGTTAAATAATCGTTATCGTACAAATAAATGATGCAATTTTTTTCAGCCAAGTATCTTTTACGTACTACAATTACGTTATAATTGCGTGACCGAATCCATTAGTGTTTAATTTAGTTATAAAAGAACGTAGCACAGAATATGATATGAATAATTATAAAACATGCGTAATGTACGAAGTGGAAAAAGTAAACTTACCAATGTGCTTACTCTCGTTGAAGGCTTCCGGAATTTTTCTCGTGAGGACGGCATAGACGGTGCACACGACTATTAATATTGTAGGATATGCAAACGCGATCATATAGCTGGCATCGATATAGTTATTGCAAACGAGCAAATTGTCTTCCATCATAGGGTAGTGATGCATAGCTTTGGCGGGATCGATGATTATCCAAATTCCGTTAATCAAGATTTGTACGAATACTAATCCAAAACAGATAATAAGTTGTGATCGCGGTGATATGAAGGATGGTCTTTTCGCGCTTCCGGCATTAAAGATTCTTGAGATTCGATTGGTCTTCGTTAGTAATGCCGCGTATACTACCGTGAAGCACAAGCCTGCGGCAAATCTATCAGCAGAGATGAAATTGTATTTTTGTTTTTCTCTTAACAAACATTCTATTAATATCGAGAAATATTTTCTACGTCTACTTCATATTTTTATCTCTGATTTTATAGATTGATACACAAAAATTCAGTTATCTTATTTTTCATTACGTTACGTCTACATTTTTAGATTTGTTTTTAGACACTGTTTATATCCCGCGATATTATTTAAAGAAAATATTTTACTTTTATTATGTCACACAATGAATTACATGAATCATAGGAAATAAAAAAAAATTGCAAAATTATTATATAAATTTGTTAATCATGTAAAACTAGTAAAACTCTATCATTTTTAATTAGATAGTGTTAATTGTATACGAAGAGAATGTAATTTATAAAGTAACTTTGACAGTTGTAAGAGCAGAAAGATTAATGTTATCACGTCGGAACACTTGCAGAATATGCTCGAAAAGATTCACAGTTATTTACCTTTGAATACTGCAAACAATGTTCGTGGGTTTAAGTATCAAAGTGAATGTGACGAGATAACAGAGTAAAATTCCTAACAGAAGAACATAAGATAGTTCTCGTCCAGATGCACGTACAACGGGCGTGTCGTTATGTTTGAGGAAAACGCCGCCGACAAATAACGTGACCTATTTACATAAAATATGTATAAATCATATATGATTATGTATGACATATAAAACATATGACGCAATTATTGCAGTTTGAGATATAAATTATATCTATTTCTCTTAATACACTTTTAATCCCTTTCATTCAAGCTGTCTTAGTTCTAGAAAGTTAGATTTGTGAAGGATACAAGAGATACCTACCAAAATTCCTGTGGCAGAAAAAGACATTGCACTTATTGCCCAAGCGCTTTCCGGGCGTAGAAACTCTTCCGGAATATCTTGACACTTTGAATGAGTTTCATCGGGTAGTGTACCTTGACTACATTGAATACACTGCGTCTCATCTTTGGGATCTCGTATCTATGTTATAAAAAAGGGGGTCGTATAGATATCATTCACATAATTATATTTATCTACAAAAATTGACAGAATAATGGAGCAAATTTGAATTTAATATGCAGGATAATTATATGATTGAAGGGGATATTATATATATAAGCCTCGAAACAAATTTATCGGATAGCCATCCTTTATATTCATTCGAATTTGCCCTATGATTCTGTTACTTTTTATGGTTAATTAATTAATCAAAATTGATTTTACTTTTATATAAATATGTATTATTTTTTACATATTCCTCTCTATTTCACACATATCCAACGAGAACTATATCGAATAAAAAAATATGCAGTATTTTCAAAATCTGTTATTACGCGATTGTGAGATAAATGAAGGTATACACAAAGATAGATATTATATTTTTTATCACCGAAACTGTGAAGAATTAATAATGGGTGTATTATCTGCGTGCACGTTTTTTTTTCTTTTAATAAAAGAAGTGGCGATTTAAATTACAAACACATCGGGTCTAGCAGGTTATTTATTCTTGACGATATGTCATTGACATACCTGATATTGAGTGCAATTAAAGCAATGCCAGCAGCATCTTTCACCCTCGACATATTTCTTTGCTTGGCCGACCTCACAAGGCAAAGAGCACACGCTCTCAGGTGGTTGAGGATGCCCAAGTTTAAATTGGATTTCTAAAACAAATACATGCATGATGACGATGTAGAACATTATAGCATGTTCATATATAAATCCGGTACATTCTCATACGTCGTGAAATATGAAAATGGAAGGGCTTACCGGACATATTCAGTCGCAGCTCGCCTTCCAGGTATTTACCGACGCGTATCCACTTGTACTTGCCCGGTTCGATTTGCTTGAAATGTATGATGTTGTATCGCGCGGGTCCGTCACCGTTCTTGTCGAATCTGAACTTGTCTCCGCTTAGACCTTAAACGTAGTCGTTCGATCGCCTATGAGTACCATGAAAACTTGATCGAGACGTATAAGCAACTAATCACGATAAAGATAGTTTTGACCATTTAATAGAGTGTGTTATAGGCTTTTTTAAAATATTTTTTAAAATTTTATTTAATAAATATATTACGTTTAAGTTTATTTAATACGTGAAAGCATTTTAAAGTGTGTTAGGCATCCTATTGTTTTATAATATAAATTTTCAATGACTAGAATCGATTTCGACTAGACTCGCACCTCGTAATCTCTTCAAGGAACCGTTTTGCTTACCCTCGAAATCCACCTTACGCAGGTAGTGTAGAAGCGTTATTCCCTTGGTCGGTTTCATTTTGTCGCATAATCCTTGCTTTCCATCGCAAAGGTCATGGTGCATATCTCTAGGAAAAGGAAGAATAGCGCTTTTTTCATAATTTTCTCGAGAAGATTTTCAGATATATCGATGATTAAATTTTAATTATACCGAAAAGCGTAAGCGAATGCCATTACTGCATCGGAAACAAACTGTAGTTGGTCCTCGAAAGCCGTGTTTTGTTTGGTGAGACGTTCTTCCGTTGTGCAAATTTTTGTATATTTTTTATTATATGGTGTCCGGGATGCATTCGGATATCGGCATTTGAAATAATCTTCCCAAAATTCTAAAATTAACGCGTAAGTACGTGATAATTTGATATATTATGATCGATCCGGAACGACTTAGCGAAACATGTGCTTACGCATCTTTAAATATCACATGTACCGAGAATAATATTATTGTATATAATGCTTTTTTGTTTCTCTTTTGTTTCTTGAGAAAAAGAAATACAACACATACATTGTTAATAAAATTGCTTCGATCGTTTTACTTGGCAACCGACGATCACGTCGAATGTCAGTCTATTTAGTAAAACCGTGTTAAAAGTTTTTATCGGTATGTATAGAGAAAGTAAAATCTGACTTCTTACTTATAAGAACTGCAAACTTGCGCGTGTACAACATATATTCGCATGCATATTGCAAAGTTGGAGTTCGCCAAGTTTCGCTCCCGTCGCATGTTCTGGCCGTTCACTTACCGACGAACCACGGATTCCTTCGATTGTTCTCGACGGTCAAATTGAGGAAGTACTCTTCGAAACCCTTAACGGGGTTTGCCTGAGGTTGAACCGATAGAGTGCCCTCGACTTCCGGCTCGTTACCGTTACTTACTAATCCTCTTGCGCTCCAACCATCACTCCCGATCCAGGAAAAAGCGCCGGTTGCGTTGCATCGTCTAACCGCTCTCATGACCCCGGCAACTTCTTGATCGGAACCGAAAATAATGCAACCTACGGCAATACAGGAGTTAGAACAATTCCGTGAAAATTTCGTCCGTAAATGCGGTGCTCTTTTATCGTCTTATCTCTATTATCGCGGTAATTTTCGCCATTCGATTTTATTTTATCGCGGGAAAAAGTCATTTTCTCGAAAGCAAAAAGATTAAGCTTTTATTGAAAAAAATGCCAATGAAACGTCTCGCTCCTCATCGTGGACGGCGATTCCTATGAGAATCAAGATTATACAGGATCCGGTAGGAATCGATGGGGGCGTAAAAAAGAACATAAGGTCGAGCCTGACGGAGCCGAGAACAGTTAGTTACAGAAAGGTCTAGAAGAAAATTCTGCATAAAATAGATATTTATCGCGAAATGCTTTTTTTTTCTTACTGAAAAGTGTAATAGATACGTTTAAACAATCAGATGTATTGTTTGCTAAAATCGTATCTGTTTTTCTCAGAGATGGGATTATGCATTTAAGAAAAAATGTTGTGAATATTAATTTAACTTAAATCTCGTGTACACTAAGTTTAAGATATCATTACTTGCATTTGATTAATAGGCATTAAATTTTTACTGTTTATGCAATGCCATATTACTTTTTCTTATTTTTTTCTCTGCGTATATCTTTTGATCTATTAGTATTTTGTGGAAGCATATTTTTGCAAAATTTGTTAGACATGTCAATATCTTTTTTATTTATTAGATGTGTCAAACGATTAATTTTTGAATACTAGTTTTTCTTTAGAAGAAGAGTTTGGTTGAAAATGTGAGTTATTTATCAAAAATGTTGGTAGAAAGTTACGCAAGTATGTAAGGTTCGAAAAGTCACCAAGGGATTTCAAGGTTCGGGACCGTATTGAATGGATTAAATGGATGAAATATTTATTCGCCTGAGGTAGAAACATCTTTGTCCGTCAGACTGAATTGCTAATCTCTATTTCTCTGAAATAAGATCATTTCAAAGTGTGCTTTTATTTCAGCGTGTGTAGAAAGTATTAATTATACTTTTTGTTGTTGTATATATGTGAACGAAATATATATGAAGAGAGAGTTATCTGGCAATGTCATAATTTTTATGCACCTTACAGCCGTTTTCGCTTTATACCATTTCTCATTTTGCGTCCGCGAAAATAGCAACGTACATTTGTTCGTTTCTCTGTCATCCATATCCTGTGTGTCTGTCGTATTTGAATTTCCTCATGAATTTACATCGAAATGTTTAAATGTTTTCTTAGCGGTGCGTGTAAATACGCTTCGCTGTTAGTTATGAGAACGATACAAGTATAATATAAATTATAAACGCCATTTCTGCTTGTATACCGATTATACAAACTGATGTGAAATATATATTACATTTCTAATATAATCATGCAAAGCTTATCTTAACTCTTATAACATAAAGCAATAAATAATTTAAATAAACTCATTACAAGTTTGATATTTATTGTAATTTGACTTGGAATTTTACATATTTTTACATATGTTATTTTATTTTTCCTAAAAATCTTTATGAGAGTATTAATATATCTTAATTAAGGACATCCTCCTCCCAATGATTTAAATAAATTCCATACAAATACCGATATACCAATTTTTCTTTAAAGCCAAAATCATTGAAAATATTAGAAGAGATCGTTTAATTTCTGCATTACGCGAAATACTTTGTTGTTTCTTTAATGATTTGCTGGAACGTGTGTGCGAACATTCGATTAAAGCTATACAAGTTAAACTGCACTTGATATCCATCCGATCTGCAAATAAAGCCAGGGATTTAGCGTACGCTCGCTTAGGAAGATCTTAGGAAGAAATGAGAGAGTTAAGTGAGTTATGTAGATTTTCAACAAGTTTCGGACAAAGTGCTGTTTGCGGAGTAAGTCGCGTTTCCATTTCGTTAATGAACCTATTTCGTTACTCTGAAACGAATCGAATGGAATTCGGAGTCCTTGTTGCGTTCGCCATCGATACAATATTACTTCGTAATCCTGCGTTTGCGATTCGTTTATATTTTGGAATAATTTATATTGATTAAAATAATGAAATGGCGCAAATGAACAGATCGCCACGATCCGAGGGCTCTTTCTAATCTCTTTCTCTCTCTTTTTCTCTTAGTAATAATTTAAATCCTTTTTAATGACATTTATTTCATCGAGAAACGTATTATCGGAGAAACGTTGATTAAGATTTCAATGCGGTTTACTTATAGGGATACATAGATTTGTAATTTAGGAGAAAAAAGAAAGAGAGAGAGAGAGAGAAAGACTAATTAATTTATTACGTTGATATAACACTCTCTAGGCACATATCAAACGAAAGATTTTACACATTATAAATATATATATAAATAATACATAAAATACAAATATGCATGCATACATACATTGTGTATGCTTCTAAAGGCATTAGAGAGTTTAGGCATAAGAGAGTTTAGGCATAAGAGAGTTTAAAAAAATATAATTTTTATTTATGTCTTTTTCTACATGAGTACTTCTTTTTGTTTTATTAAGTTGCTATCTCTTACCTCTTGCTCGTGGTTTTGTCAGCAACTTTAAAATGATATTATCGTAGGCGATCTCCTCGGCAACCCCAGAATCCTTTACCAACTTTTCTTTGATGGCGATACATATGTTATGTTTTCCTAACAGACCCTCGAGTTCCTCAAAAGCCTGCAACACAGAAGAATAGAAACAGATACATTTTGTTGAATACGTTTCCAATAAAGCATTGTATCTAATGCTGGTTCGTAATCTTCATCGAACAGCGCACGTAGTACTTTGAGATCTTTTGGAAGAGAAATGAACATAGAGCAGAATGAATAAAAGAGCGGGAAGGAAATGTACCTTAATGGAAAAATACAGGCTAAAATGGAATATTTAAAGACTGTATCTTTTTCTGCAAAAAATCATGATAGAGATAAAATATATATATGTAACAAAGATCGCCGCATTGGCTTAAAAACATGAGCACATAGTAGTACAATTATTGTTCTATGCTTGTATGTGGAAATGGTATCCAATAACAATTCTTGTTATTGAAAATGTTAAATATATTAAACAATCTTTGTCGAATTTAAATTTACATTAGATTAATAAAATTGTAATACGACAATACTGGTTATTTTCGCCATCTTCGTCATCGTTATCTTGTATTGTCAATAGAGATATTCGTTATAAAATTGTAATACGACAATACTGGTTATTTTCGTCATCTTCGTCATCGTTATCTTGTATTGTCAATAGAGATATTCGTTTTTTGATAGGTACATAATATTAAAAAATTGCTTTATAACAATTGGAAAATACATAAGATTTCGAATTTATATTATTGAGATTCTTTTGTTGCATTCTTTTGCTCTGCATCATAAAATGAATCGCACAATTGACTTCCGCAGATAGATTCCGATAGTGATGTAGAAAAACTCCGTTACTTTGTCGAACAAATGGATATTTGTAATAAAAATCCCCATTCGTTCCGTGCTTCTGGCTTTCGATTGCTCGTTGAAAAATGTTCCCTTCGTGCCACGAAATCATATATATATATACACACACACACACATGTGTGCGCGCGCGCACGTATGTGCTTTGTGTATGTGTGTGTGTATCGATTCGCTCCTCTTAGACTACTCTCTCTATGTGCATTTTTCGTATGCGATCCGTGTGCTGAGTTGAGATCGCTGATTTTCAATCCCATGGCATTATCGATTAGTTGCGTCATCATACGGAAAACGTAGTTACACATGAATGTGGCGTCTCTTCTTCCGTAATTTTATCCATTTTTTAACATTTCTCAAGATAATGAGTCTATGATAAAAAAGAGTGAAAATTTTCATGCTTTTTATGTCATAAAAAGCGATTTTTATATTCTATCATTGTAGAATTTGCTCAACTGCTTGACTGCTAAAATCACATTTTCTTCACTGCGAATAATCTTATGAATGTCCAGCAATTATATTTGCTGTTAGACGGATTGATAAAGTAAAAAGTTGAATGATAGATGCCATAATTATTACATGAGAGATATTAGAATGAATGACATTTTTTCTCTTGAAAGATTAAATGAATAAAAAGATCATTAATGTAGTTAGAAATTCTATAAAGTATTATTCAAGGAGACAGAAATTTATTTAGAATTAAAAATTTGGAAAAATTCTTACATTTCTCTAAGCAAAATATAAATATAAGAAAACATGCTAAAAAAATTATCAAAAATTGTCAAAAATTATAATTAAAGAATAATCTAATAAAAATAATTATGCTCGAATAAGAATAGAAAATTAAAATATTAAATTTAAATTTAAAATTTTTTATATAATCAATAAATATTTTATAAAATATATAATAATTAAGCGCGATGGAGAGGGGGGGATCAATATTGATATAGAATCACAATTAAAAGATTCAAAAATATTAATATAATACTCG